TAATTGAAGTTGATCACTCTAAATAGAATTTGGTTCTTCCAGTTCCGACACGATACTCGTCACATGCATGCTAGGGAATGGGTAAGCGGTCCAGATGGTCGTGTCTACCAATTCCATGTTGGAGAGCAAAGTTGGTTGGCTGCCAGAGAATTTTGCCTGGCACAAAATTCTGAACTAGCCATTCTTAGGAGTAAAGAACAAATTGTGAGTTTGATGTTTGGATTTTGCTTACAAGAGGTAAAATCTTTTTATAGGATTGGCTTCTTAGCCATTATGCACCAACTTACACACGATTTCGTGAGCGTTACATGCAGGTAGTGTTTATATATAGTAAATGTTATTACTTAGTCTTCTAATAGCTTGGAGAAGCAATTTATTGGATTTCAATTAAGATCGGCTTGCTTTTGCCAGATGGTCCTAATCGTGAATGGATGTACCTGGATGGCTCGCCCTACAATCAGTCCGTGGTGTAAGTTTTCCTATTTGTTCTAAAAATAATGCTGTAATCGCTTTCAATCAATTTAGTGATTACGAATTCGCCAGTGAATATTTAAGAAATGTTAGACTTGCAAATTGCTTTGATTATCATGAAGTAAAACTCATTCTATTAATTAAGTTAGAATCACAATAGACTAAAACTTTCCAAGTCTTCTAGGGGCGTTGCTTTCCACTTTTCTCGTTACACACATCCTTCGTTTGCTTTGATATTTTAATTTTATTTTTTGTTACTCTAATGTCTATTAGCGAAGTTCAAACAGAACGCAGCAGTCTCTGGTTCAGAATTTGCTGTAGGAGGGGCAGAGCAAGTGCACAAAATACACTAAACATTTTTAGATTCGTTTTTCCCTGAATTTTTTTTCCTTAGGAGATTCCATCTCAGGTTTAGCAACAGTGATACACATTTTGCCTCGGCTTCAAGAAGGAATTGTTTCAAAATATGGTGAAATGTTAGAACAAAAGATCGTTAAAAAAAACTAAAAGCAAACGAAAAGAATTATGGAGTAATTTTGGGTACCCTGCTTAAGAACACAAACAATGGCGATTACTCAATAACTGGTAATGATTAAATAAATTGTATTTTATCTGCTCCTTTTTTTGCGGCCATCAAGTGATTCAAGCGTACAACTATGTGATATTGTATCAGTACCATGTACCTACCGTAGTCCTAAAGTACGGTCATACTCAAAGTGGTATGGTGTAATGAGGTGGCTAGTTTTCGCCTCCCTCTACGCGCAGTGTGAGCATCAATTGGGAGGACTTAGGACCAGCAAAACGCAATAACGCCTAAATTTCTATATCAAGGTTAAGAAGTTAGTGTAGATATAAAATTTCGGCGATTCATGTACATTTTTTACATTATAAGTTTACTGTATGGAATTCAAATAAGCATCGTTTTCAGTTTTACCACATCCAAAAACCCTAATATGAACTACGAAGAAATATCTGAAACTTGACTGTTTGGAGTGCATTTACATATCTATAGTAAGGCAATGTCATAGGTGCTTGATGTTAGCCCTTTCAATTCTTCAGAGCACCGTTTTCATACATTCTAGTTGTAGTCAATTAACATATTAATCATCAAAGTTACAACCCTTCAA